TTCTTAGAATTTTAAATATAATTTTGCAGTAAAACTTTATAATCTTTATGTTCAAGCTGCATAAATTTGTATCACCACTTTGTGGAGCAGGACATACCTGCAAATCTTAAAATGTGACAAATAAGAGAAAAACCTGATTTTAATTGGACAGTGTTTTAAAATGAATTTAAAACTTCAAAAAAGTTTTCTTCTTTGGGGTAACATTTCTGTTTCGCCAAACTATGAACAAAAAATAAATAAAAGTAATAATTCAGTTTATGATGCGCACATAATCTGTTATGAAACACTGAGTTATCTTGTTCATCTCAGACTAAAAGCTCCTCTTTTTTAATGTTCAAGAAACTTTAATCCTTGATAACCTTTAATACCAAAGTGCACAATAAACCATGCAGCATGAAGCTAGTTGAGATTAGAGTACAGGTGTATGAGAGAACGGATTGCCCTGCTGTCGCAGTGAACTGTACAATAAATAAGCTTCTGGTCACAAAGAGGGTCCAGAGCAGCGTGGCCCTGCAGGCCTTCCCACACTCCCTGCAGGACTGGATCCATAGCTCAGCGCAGCACCCTGGATTAGCCCCACGCACCTTTGTGGAGGGACAGATTATCCAGACCTCCCTGCATTCACTGACAGGGTTTAAGTCACTCTAGCGTGCCAGCAGCCACCCGTCACCTAATCGCACCCTTCAACTCCTTCTCTCTCTCTTTTTTTTTTTTGGTTAAGCAGCTTTTTTTCTTATTGGTCCTTAGAATTCTGTGGACAGAGCTTAGGTTGGGGTCATTTATTAAACTGCAATAAAATATTCTGCTATAGTTGACATTTTTTTTGATGTAAACTCCTAGTTTGGGATTCCATCGTTGAAGTTTCAGCCTTCCAAACCAACATTTCTCTAATGCCTGCTCAGAACTGAGATCTGAGAAATAATGCTTCACCTTTCATACTAAATATTTTGGCATTATGACCATCTGAATTTGGCTCCAAACTGCCCCACCTCTTTGCTCCCCCCCTCCCCCTTGCAGAGTGCCCAGAGGGCCTCTCTTCCCCGTCATGTGGAGCTCTGTGCCCACTCAGCAAGTGCAGGCATATCCCACTTCCATCTGCCTATGACCTCACAGCCCCCTGTTTGTTTAACCCCCCACTCCAAAAACTAACCTAATTATAGCCCTGTAGAACACGGATTCAGGAGATTCCCAGCGGATTTCGAACGCTATCTGCGTGCACACCAAGAGGCATCGCCACGGGCCACGTTTCAGTCGGTCCTGCCTTTCATTTCTCTCCTCGTATTATGTCAGAACATGTCCTACATCATGTCAGCGCGCAGGGAAGAAGCAAGAGAAAAAAAGTGTTTAGACAACAACATAAAAAAGCAGAAGTGTGCTATAAGTGTYTCTTTTTACGTCAGCGTGATGAGTGGAAAACTCATTAGACACACTCYGGCTGACAGACAGACGTTTGTGACATCACCGGGCTCCCGTTGGACCTGCTGGGCGACTTCACGGAGCACACCTTTCCACGCTTGGTGAAATCTTCGTCTCAGATCTGGAACCTCCCTCTGATGCACAGATTAGACCTCAGCGCAGTTTGGGTGTAACGGATGAACACATGAGTGGTGCCGAGGATCGCACCTTTGACAGATTTAGACTGTATTGATCTGCTTTGGCTGGGCTCCTTGTGGGGCCGTGTGGTCCGAGCCCCGGGGTGGGGCGCTGCGAGGCTGACTGTCCAGCTTGGRCAGGCCTGGTCCAGAGTGGAAGGACCTGTGTGGAGGTCTGTGATTGACAGCACAGAGCAGCGTTTGAGGGTGTAGAGGTGCGGGGGCTGGGGGGTGGGGGGGTTAATCTCCCTTGAACYGGGGCAGATGTTGTTAACGAGCTCCTCTCAGGTCGACTCCCTGCGTGGGAAAAAGGCATCAAATCCTCCTGGGGTCAGGGCTTTTGGGTTGACCCACCGAGAGCCATCCCTCTCCACTGCACCGTCCTCTTCTCTCCCCTGTCCCACCCACCCACCCACTCACATTAAACTGTCACGTTTGACCGTTTCTCCACTGTTCCTCTTCTTCAGTTCATCTTCTGATCTTCAGGTCCCAGCCTGAACTTTGGTTGCGTGATGRGGATGTCTCGTTAGTGTTGACTGCGGCTGGATCACGGTGCCTGACACAACCACAAGGAATGCTGAGTGGGAAACGCTTCAAAGAAAAGCACGCCGCTGCTCAAGAACATGCATCCGCCCAGGACCGAGCTATTTGTACGTGYCTAAATAGAAAGTCAGGTCGCTGAAATAAAGGCCTGATAGACTTTTGGGTCCCCCAGGTTGACATGTGGAWCATGTGCCGAATTACCTGAACCTTGAAGCGTAAGCATGAAAGTTTTGCCAAGAAAAAAAGACGTAACATCCTCTTTTAATAAAACTTCTGCCTAACATTCAATATTTTAGTAACTATCATTGAAAACCTAACATGACAAGTTTCAAACATCTTTTCCTCAAAGCTGAAGAGAAGAAAATTGCGAAACATTCACAGATAACAGAGCCATTCTGGTTTTTATGATTATTCTTTATGGTAAGAAGTGTAAAAGTCATCCACACATTAAATCCTTAAAGGAAAGAGAAACAATTGCTGGTTCAGATTGGAACGAATGGAGAAAAAGAAAAAAAAAAGAAGCATAAAACATCCAAAGAGCTTCAGGCTGACCTGGAGCGATCTGAAGTGGTGTTTTCAACTTTCACTGTGAGCCGAACACTGAAACAGGCACAGATCAATGGGAGGAACTCAAGGAGGACGCTGCTGTTGATGAAAACAGACAATGCAAAACTGACTTTTGAAAAGCTTCAACATATCAGTCGCCACCTATCAAAGACAACGTTTAATAAACTCAAGTGTTTTCCGAGGATGTTTGATAACAGGTGACTAAGTGCAGCTCGTTTGTTTAAACAAATCCCAACCTGTATATAGTAAAGCATGGTGGAGGTGGGATCATAATGTCGAGTTGATCTGCTGCAAGAGACATTTAATGCACAAAACAGACTAAGTTGTTTTATAGTTATCCCTGTCACACTATAACTTATGCCAGGGGTGCCCAAACATTTTCCCCAAGTGGGCCAAAATGACCATTTATCCGGGGCTGCGGGCCAAATGTAGTAATATAATACATGAAATACACATGCTTTTTAAATAAAGTCCTTTATTTTTAATGATTAATCTTTCAGCCAGTGCGGTGGCCCACTTTGGTTTTTAGTGAAATCTGACATATGCTCAAGCAGCAAAGGCTCATGGGACATTTTATAAATTGATAAAATATGAGTTTTGTGGCCTTATAAAGTGTGCAAATCTACATGTGTGGTTAAATCTAATCTAAATATCTCTTGTTGTTCATTGCATTTCATGTTTCAGAATAATATATCAAAGATAAAGTCAGCACCATCAGTGAAAACTATTTTCACTACAGCTCCTTATATATTCATTTGACCAATGGATAAAATGACTTTAAGTGGAAATACTGTGTTTCTACATCGTAGGACAAGTTACAACCTTATAACTATAGCATCTGCTGGTGGGCCAAATCAAATGGCTTGGCGGGCCAAATTTGGCCCACAGGCCCCACTTTGGGCTCCTCTGACTTATGCCAACAAATGAAAAGCTTTTGCAACACTAAAGAAGGCTGAGCTGAAAATGAAATTGAAAAAAAAAACTGCTGGAAGCCTATTTTGGACATTGCATTTCAATTACATCAAAAATGTAACCAGTATGAGTGAAATAGACAAAATAAAATTTGCCTAAGTCAGCATAAGCTGTCTTGGGTCTTTACAACTAACTGTACAAAATAACATGAAAATATTTATACTCCAGTTAAACAATCTAAATAAATAATGGGTAGAGAAGGCAGAGCAGAAATCAAAGAAACATGAACCTTGTAAATGTAAAAACTTTGAAGCTGTAGTTTATGTTTTATCCTATCAAGGCTGCAGCTAGCCTGTTTTATATTTCTTTTTTTGCCYATTGTGCTTAGAAATTTTATTAACCAATTCAGATTGTATATAGTTTATTTATTGTATTAATATAAATTAGCTCATTGTTTAGAGGCATGGATAACTTTGAATGAGTAAAAGTTCCAACAGTTTTTTTTTTCAGTGATCAAGCATTTTAATATTTTTGAACAATTTGTTTTGTTCTTTTTTTTTTTATTAAATTATGTTTTTAGTCACTTCTGGGTTTTAAAAAAACCTTGAATCAAAGACTCCAGTGTTTTAAATGTTTATTTCAGTTTAAGAGTATGGCTATATGCAAGATTCTGTACAAAACAACCAGACTGAACTTCATGAGGTCACATACGTTAAAAAACAAAACAATTTTTTAAAGTTTGATTACTTATTTTAAAACTTTTGACTCTTTATTCAACGTAAGTTTCACTTCACACACCATTGCTCTGTGTTGTTTTTTTTAACAACCCTCCAGCGATCAACAAAGAATCCTGTAAAAACACATTTGGTTTGCGAGCACCATTCTGTTTTTCGACCTATGTACAGCCTGAACACACTGTACATAAGTTACCTGTGATGTGGCTTCTCCTCATCAATCACATCCAGAATGGGCATGTCTCCGTTCCATATCGTGTCAGCGTGCCTGCTTTGGGGTTTATCCTAGCTTAGGTTTTAATGCAAAGGTCATCCATTAAGGTGTTTGACTCTGAAGGCGTGTTTACTTTGCCGCAGCAGGTGTGCGTGAATACGAGACTTGTCAAATATGAGTCAGGATTACTGTCGCTTTTGTCCCAAACAAAGCAAATACAAATCACACGAAGCTGAAACGGGAAGAATCTGCTCTTTCTATGGCCGCCCGCTCTCCGTGGATCCTTTCACATTTTGTTCGGTTGAGCCTCTCTCGAGTTTGTTTTTGCCCGTAAAAGCGGCCGTGTAAAACCGCACGGGCGCGCACGCATTCGTGGCAAACAAGCGAGAACGAAACAGGGATTAGGAGGCTTCTTCCTGAGTGACTTGTAGCGACGAATAAACTAGAAACCATTGGTTTTAATGTGAAAAGCGCCAATTGAGTCAGTCTAGTGTGAAAATGTCGCTGCTGCAGATGGTCTCTTTCTGAACCACTTTATTTATGAACACTGGAGCATGTAGACTTGCTTGTAATCTGCCGAACTATAGATTTCTGACCTTTTATTGTGACCCGTTGGGGGAAAAATTGGGCCAGGTTTATGTGAGCTGATGTATGTGGCGTGCTTTAAGGGACAGTAAAGAGTATGCAAGACAATGCAGAGGAGCCAAAGGGGGGCGAGGACTTAAGGCGATGACAAGGGGCAAAGATTAGGCCTCTCATCTAGGCCACAGATATTGATTAGTGTTTGTTAAGGACAGTGAGAGGGAACACAGATTGACAGATACACAATAGCTCCACAAGAGGCTCCCTGATCATGTTATGATTGTATGTTCATACGCACAAGTGACCTCAATACGTACAAAACAAATGTTCCACATGTGGAGGAAGTTCTATATCATTTAATAGCATTTCAAAACTTTTACTTAACTCAAGACTTCTTTTTATGTTTGTAAGTGTGTGTGGTTTTTTGGGAGCGTAACCCTGGGAACACAGGGGGAGGTGGAGCGCACTTAGCTACGGGTCAGTCGTGACTGACTCTGTCACTTATTGATTAGTTGCCATGGAGAGTTAGTCAGGCCATCTTTCTTGGAGGTGTGTCCCCGAGGGCCAGCATCATTGCCCAGATGAGCCTGTGGAGGCTTTGTCTGCAGGGGGTTGCGTGTGTGTGTGTGTGCGTGTGTGTGTGTGTGAGTAGGAGCTTATGACCTCACCAACTCTTACTCACGCTTCCCTCATCTTCATCCCTCCTTCGTACGATACTTTTATTTTCACTCTGCGTTTTGCATCCATCCCTCAAACTCTGAGCTAATTTGCAATATTTTAGAAAAAAAGAAAAACCTGGAGCCTCAACATTCAGTGCATACACMTCCTCCCAGGGGAGCTGCAATAAAGAGGATTGTAAACAAATTGTCCAAACTTATTGAGCTGTGAAATCCCCCTCATATCCAAGGGATWTGCCTACTCTTATGATCCTCTCTCATCTCTGTTTCTGTATTGTTCCTGTCAGAGCTTAAGAAGGAAGCGGGWGCTGCAGGGAGATGGGCGGGCGAGGGCTCGGCGGTGCCAACGATCCACCTGCAGGAGCTGGCGGYTCTGGTGTCAGCCCAGCAGGGCACAGCGACGGGCGGCAAACCTTTCACACCTATAGCAGGTAGAATCATACAGGAAATGAACAAAAACTAAATTAAAATGGAATGTATAAAAGATTTAAAAAATGCAAAAGGAAGTGTGAGTTTACCCAAAATCTTTCTGTTTTATACAAGTTTCCTTGATGCCAAAGCTGTTTTTTTAATCAGTGTTTTAAAACAAAACACAATTTTTTTGGCGACATCTTTTTTAAGGGTTAATATTTCAATAAAACATAGCAAGTTTGCATTCATCGAGTTGAAGAAAAGCACAGAAATGCTAAAAAGAAACAATCATGCAAGTTCATGCAGCTCCCACATTATTCAGTTTAGAGTAGGGGTGCCCAAACATTTYCCCCRAGAGGGCCAAAATGAAAATCTATCCAGGGCAGCRGGCCAAATACAGTAATATAATRCATGAAATACAAATACTTTTTAAAGAAAAGTCCCTTATTTTTAATGATTAAGCTGTGCAATGGCCCTCTTTTGTTTTAGTCTGTGCACTTGGAGAAAGTC